CCGAACTCCTCATATGGGCCTTACCTCAAAGCCGATTAATTATTCTAGTTTATTTGCTTGATCTTGGATGGCCCATTAATAACCCAATCATCAAGGCCCAATAGAAAGGCCCAACAATAAACCTAAGTGAAATTAGGGTTTCACATAAAATGACGATTAGGGTTAAGTGTTTCTCACTAAACCCATTAAGGACTTAATCCATTAAGTCCATCACTCTTCTAAATAAATCATACGGTGTGATTGGGCATAATACACAATTCCATTCCAATGGCCCATGCGTGGGTCCTGATAAGTCCAAGCCCATAAATCCAATATTAGGGTTTTCTAAACCCTAATTAGGGTTTCCAACCCATCTTAGCCCAATAGACCCAATAGATTGGTCTTTTGATCAATTAAGGTTCATTAGGCCCATTAGGGCTTCACTAGGCCCATTAGTCTCACGTTTGGGCTTTTAGGCCATTTAGGGCTTTATTGGGCCCATTAGGGTTTATTAGTCCCTTTGTCCAAACATCCAAATGAGTCACAAACCAAACAAGGAACACCGCCACCCGACGCGATGGCTGGTGGCGGCAGGAGGCGGCAGCCACCACCCTACGGTGGTGGTTTTAGTTTTCTTTTCATTAATCCACTTTCTGATTACATTTTACAAGGCTTTAATTCCAAATTAAATACACTAAACACAATAAACACACACACACGCAACCACCCTATGGCGGCCGGCGGTGGCGCGTGGCGGCAGCCACCACCTCACAGTGGTGGTGGTGGCCGTACTCGACTTTTCAGTTTGACAAAAACACACATATATACTTCAGACTGCATACAACACTCCAGCCACCCACCTGGTGGCTCAAGGCGGTAACAGCGACAGTCTTGGGATGGCAGTGGCGGCGGCAGCAATACTTTTATGATGACAGCCACCACCTCACGGTGGTGGCAGTGGCTTCTTTTATTTCTCAATCAAACAGCAACGACATCGGTAATCCTTGCTTGGAAATCCGGACGCGACAACCCATCCGATGGTGCGCTGTGACGACAGCGGGGGGTAGCTCAGGAACTCTAGAATCTCTCAGGAGTTGAATAAACTCTTTTATGCTAGTGGAATTGGGAAGCATGATAAGTCCGTACTCCACATTCTAGCTTCATCCTTGGTTTTCCATTGTTACGGAGCCGGAGCATGGCATCTCTGAGCATCAGGCGCATGATAGCAGGCTGCACCGAGCCGGAAGTCTGGATATGTTGACCAGAATGATGATCTGGATGGAACGGGAACGAGAGCGAGGTCATCCTCTCCACGTCGCAAGAAAACTCCTTGGTCTTACGAGCCGCTTACGCTAACTCAAGCAGGTACCGGGAGGTACATAAGCCCTAACGGCCATGACGGTGGTTAAAGGCGGCAATGCAGTAACGAACCAGAGAGGGGAGGGTTTTGTGACGACAACAGCGGCGCTCCAACACTCCAGGCTTCACCAAATGGCTTCAGCGCCCCCCCTCCGTCGGTCCTTACTCTTCTCCGGCAGCGGATGCGGCAGCGGACGATGTGGCAGTCTTCAACCGATGGCGGCGGCTAGGGTTTGGCATCATCTCCTTGATCTTGGCGGTTCCTCCCGACAACTGCTACGTCGTTCACGTCTTCGCCGTCGACGGAGACACCGGTGGGTCGAGCACAACAGGGAGATGGCGGCCGGAGGTTAAAGATGGAGAGGGTGGCGGCTGGATAGCATGGCTCTAGGGTTAGGGTTACGGGAGTGTTTTATACCTGGCTCCAACCAAACTCATTCCCATAATGGAAACTATGGCCCCTCCTTCCAAAAATAATTTCGAAATAGCTCCCATAATTACCCATTACACCCCTTCTCCATTAATTCCTTTCATTTTAAGTCCAGCAGTTACCATTCAACCCCTTATTTACAAATTATTCTCAAATAAAGTTCATATGTTACCCTTTTAACCCCAGCCTTCAACACTCTTTACAAATTGAGTCCGAAATTTACCATTTAACTCTCTCAACTTTCAATTATAACTTTTTAACCCCCAAAACTAACTCCTTGCTACACTATTCCGCTTTTAGGGCTATTATTCATTTATTAATTCGTCTATTTATTTATTAAATAAACAGGGTGTTACATTAACATTTAAGTACCAAATACTTAAGTGTATATGAAAAGTATGAGTTCTATCTAGTAGATGCCTAAAGTACTAGTCTCTTCCAAACTTTCTTTCCAAATAAGAGGCGCAATTCCTCTTCCATTGTCTGATTTCTCCATAGTAGAAACAAGATCCATCAATGTGGGCCTTCTTCGATTTCTTGGGCTTAAAGGTGTCCAGTCCATAAAACATGGGCATCTTAGATCACATAAGGTGACTCTTTTATCCTTTCACTATTCCAAATGTTTGAACTAGTTTAAAACAAAATTTCATTGTATTATTGGAATATTGCTTAACCTGGTATATCATCGGATATATATCTAAATTATTCAAGACTTCTTGGAAGTCGGCAATAACTATTTCTAGTTTGATGTTTAGAAACATATTTAGCATCATAGTGATGCCTTTACCAGGTGTCATGTTCAGGTCAATTGCTCAAAGCAAATAGTTCAGGACTAGGACATTTAAGTGTATACAATTTCACATATGTTATGAGATTATCTCTCAAGACATGAACACATTCATTAAAGTTGTATCTATTGAATTTTATTGTTTCATTAAGTCATTAAATAAAATGACAATTCATGGTAATGAGAATGGATTATTTGTCTACAAAATTTTAACAAAATTCATTTAGTATTTTCAATATCTAAGCTCTTTAATAATTAATACCCTTTTAGTTTCCAAAAACATTAATTATCAAAGTCTAGGATCCAAGTTGCAAAAACCAATAAATGGTTAGGTGACATTTATCCCATTTATTTGAATCCAACCCGGTAGATATCGATTATTTGAATTTATATGTTGTGTTGTTTGAAATATGATATTTTTCAAAAAAGAATTATTTATTGTTGCCGTTTATATAACTATATGTGTCTGTTGCTTAATGAAAATAATATTTTTTTAATGTGTTACATATAATTTTCGGTATGACATGTTTTCTCAAATAACTAGTTGCCGAAAAAACAGTTCTTAAAAAACTAATTTCTAAAAGGAAACATGTTAAATATGACACTATGTTTTAACATTACACAATTGCAAAAATCATCTTATTCTTTACATTTATAATAATCTAACTAAAGTCAAGAAGCTTCCCTAAGTAATTTGGTTTTACGATGTTTGGTTCTTGAATTAGATTTTTGAAAAGAATTTACAGATTCGAAAGAAAAGGACTTGTCGAACGAAAAACAAATATGGACCAATAATTTAATTGAAATTTCCCTAATTATATAAAAATTAATCAAATAATCAGTTTCTAAAAATAACATCTAAAAAATTATACGAGTTAGGTCAATGTTACGAACTATCGTTGTTGCGTTTTATATCAATTATAGTCTTATACTTATATCAGTTTGTTATAATCTATATAACCTACTTCATATAACAAGTAGAATTTTAGTTATGAATACTCTTTTAATTTGTTCACATTCAATCAATAGATTCTAAACACACATCAAAACAAATGTTAAACATAATTGTGTATATATATTATAGATAGCTTAACGGAAAATCATATTTTTCTATATGTTGTGTTGTTTGAAATATAATATTTTTCTAAAGAGAACTATTTATTGTTGCCGCTTATATAACTATATGTGTCCGTTGCTTAATGAAAATAATAGTTTTTGATGTGTTACATGTAATTTTCGGTATGATATGTTTTCTCAAATAACTATTTGCCAAAAAAAATCTAAAAAAACTAACTTCTAAAAGGAAACTAGTTAAATATGATACTATGTTTAAAATTACACAATTGCAAAAATCATCTTAGTCTTCACATTTATAAAAATATAACTAAAGTCAAGAAGCTTCCCTAAGTAATTTGGTTTTACGATGTTTGGTTCTTGAATTAGATTTTTGCCTAATTATATAAAAATTAATCAATTAATCAGTTTCTAAAAATAACTTCTTAAAAATTATATGAGTTAGGTCAATGTTATGAACTATCATTGTTGGGTTTTATATCAATTATAGACTTATACTTCCATTTTTTTTTCATATAACGAAATTATGTTGTTTTTCCTTTCGTTTAATTCCGAAAAAAAAAAACTTAAATGAAAATGAAAAATGAAAGATAAATCAACTAAAAAGAGAACTTATGTGACGAGAAATGTCGTCCAACTAATAAAACAAAAAATTTTGTTTTCAAAGAAGTTTTTCAACGATTATACATATTCATGCATTTATTTATTTATTTATTTTTCATATATTTATTGTATTTTTTTAGACATTTCAATATAACCAATAAAACAAACTCTCTTTATATTATTTTATCTTTATTTATTTATTTATTGTGTCGGTTTTTTATAACTTTATATGTATTTTTCTATATGTTCCTCCGAGTTTTATGCGGGTCATAATCTAGTTTATAGAGTTCGATAAGTAGCTGGAAAAAATTAATAGAGTGTAAACTGCCTCAGTCTTACATTTTTCATCAAAACGAGTTACTCAATGTGTTCACAGTGTAAAAAGAATGAATGCGAATAGTTGGCACAAAACAAGTTGAGTTTTGCTACCTATATTTTCTTGTTTTTTTCACTTCCCAAATTATAATTAATATGATTACAAAAAAGAGAAATTAAATATCCTCCTATTTTTTTTTGCTACATATCCTAATACCCAATAAAATGATGAAATTTAATGATATTTTTAGGATACAAATATGACATATGTCATCATTTAAATGGGTAGGAGGATTGATAGGATTAAAAGGCAGGAGGATATTTAATTTTTCTTACAAAAAATACTATTTTCAAGTAATTTAGGGGTGACTTGACTTTTAAACGCCAGATTTTTAGATACATAAATTTAATTGAAGTTATCCTCCGAATTTTTATCGGTATAAAAGGAAAGTAATGAAAGACAAATTTGTATCACTCTGTATCCGCACACCTATATTACTGATAAAATGTGGAGAGAAGATGAGGATCACATCAAGTCACCTCTAATTAGTATTATATCACAAGAAGATGGAGATGGAGATGGAGATGGAGATGGAGATGGTGTGTTTGAGGAAATGAAGAAGCAGTTATGGTTGGCAGGCCCTCTCATATGTGTCTCCCTCCTACAGTATTCTCTGAACCTCATTTCGATCATGTTCGTTGGTCATCTTGGAGAGTTGTCTCTCTCTGGTGCTTCCATGGCTACCTCCTTCGCTAGTGTCACTGGTTTCAGTTTATTTGTAAGCATCTTCCTCTAAATACTTGCAACTCCCGTTTACTACAACTAGTCCTAAGTTTCGTTTCGTAGTCTATTATGATCAATACACTAGAAAATCTGACATGAGCAAGCAACCGGATATTTTTTCGCTAAAAATCGACCCATGAATTAGAGACTGATTTCAGTCATTTCACTCATACTGTCGCTACGTCTGTTGCTATGTTGGCAAATCTGTCGCTATTGCTTTAAACTCTTTAGCGAATTCTTTATCTAAAATAAGTTGATTTGAAGTGAAATATTGTTGTACATGCGTGGTTTGAACAGATGGGAATGGCATGTGCGTTAGATACGCTATGTGGTCAATCGTATGGAGCAAAGCAGTACCATATGCTAGGCATATACATGCAGAGAGCAATGGTGATACTTATGTTAGTCAGCATACCCGTAGCTCTTATATGGCTCAACACAGGGTCCATCCTAAAAGCCGTGGGTCAAGACCCGGACATATCTAGAGAGGCTGGAGTGTATGCTCAGTTCATGCTTCCAAGCCTTTTCGCTTATGGCCTCCTCCAATGTCTTGTAAGATTTCTACAAACACAAAACATTGTGTTCCCCATGATGGTGAGCTCAGGGATTGCCACTTTGTTACATGTGTTGATTTGTTGGCTTTTGGTGTTCAAATCTGGCCTTGGTACCAAAGGGGCTGCATTGGCTAATTCCATATCGTATTGGAACAACGTCATTTTATTAGCACTTTATGTCAAGTTTTCATCTTCTTGTGTCAAAACTTGGACTGGGTTCTCTAGAGAAGCGATCCATGGTATCCTCCCTTTTATCAAGCTCGCAATACCTTCGGCGGTTATGGTATGGTGAGATATTTTTCTATCTAAACTAACTAATTTTGTTATAGTTTGTCTACGGTTATAATGAATTTGAAATGGGTTTACAATGTTATAAATGCAGCTTGGAGATGTGGTCATTTGAGCTGATTGTTCTGCTTTCCGGGCTTCTTCCAAATCCTAAATTGGAGACCTCGGTGCTTTCAATTTGGTAAATGGCCACAAGTATTAATTAATTTGTTTATTCACTGGTGGACATCAAAATATTCTATAGGCCCTTATGCGTCATAGTCTATTCATATAATATGATTTACTATTTACTTACTTCCATCACAACCGTTTCTTTTGACAATTAATTCGTTTATATATATATTATTTACTTCCATCACAACCGTTTCTTTTGACAATTAATTCGTTTATATATATATATATATATATATATATATATATATATATATATATATATATAACACTAATTAATTAAATGAATTATTTACTTTGTTGATTTCTACAGTCTTAATACGGCAGCAGTGGTGTGGATGATTCCTTTTGGATTAAGTGGTGCTGTTAGGTGCGTTTTTTTTTTCTATAATAATATTTTGCTTTTACTAATTTATGTAATAGAATGAAATTTTTATCAACCCCTCTCTCTCTCTCTCTCTCTCTCTCTCTCTCTATATATATATATATATATATATATATATATATATATATATATATATATAGGGGACAGTTCAAATAAAAACAGTAAATAGTGTGAGAACGTAAAAACACTTTTTTATGTTATTATTCTGCAATGAATTTTGTATCGACAACTTTATGTCATTATTCAACAAAGAATAAATGAATAGTTAAAGGTTAAAATTAAAATTAGAATTTACTACAAAAATGCACATATATAAGTTTATAATAGAATAATAACATTGTAATGAATATATGACTAATCGAAAGTTAATATTTATATTAGAATTACTTCAACAATACACATATATAAAATTCATTACAGAATAATAACATAAAAATAGTGTTTTTACGTTCTCACACTATTTACTGTTTTTATTTGAACTTACTTCTATATATATATATACACAAAAGTTACCAAAATTTTATCATTATTTATTTGCAACAAATGGAGTTCTTACCGATTTATACATGCATATGTACTGGTAACCAATTTCTTTATGAACATGGATATTTTAAAAAACAACTAATCATTAACTCATTTCCCTATGAACATGGATGGATATATAAGTTTATTTGTCATTTAGAAAAAATCATGGACTTATTATAAGACATTCTTGTTATTTTTTTTCTCCTGGTTCATACATAGTACGCGGGTATCAAACGAGTTGGGAGCTGGACATCCACGCACAGCCAGATTGGCAGTGATTGTTGTCCTAGTGGTGGCCGTTGTAGTCGGAATATTGGTTGGATCAGTTCTGATATTGATCCGTAATATATGGGGATATGCATATACTAGTGAGGCCGAAGTTGTAAAGTATGTAGCATCCTTGATGCCAATTCTAGCAGCATCAAACTTCATAGATGGTCTCCAATGTGTTCTTTCAGGTTTTTTTTCTATATATTTTTCGCTAAAACGTCTTTTTATTTCAATCAGATTGTCAAGTTTGATAAATATATGTATATATGATATGTATACATTCATAAATCGTACATAAACACATACGTACATAGGTGTGTATGCATACTAATTGCGACTTCCTTATAAAAGAGTATGATGATATGTAGGTTCTGTACGAGGATGTGGTTGGCAAAAGATTGGCGCATACATTAACCTTGGGTCATACTACCTTGTAGGCATCCCTTTAGCTGTTTTACTAGCTTTTACATTGCATATTGGAGGAAAGGTAATGTAAACTTCTCGAGTTGTCAATTCTTGTTCAACTTCTTTAATTGTCAATTCCTAATTAGAGATGTATTTAATATAGACATAATGTAAAGTATATGGTTTAAGCTATCAATATTCACTACATAAATTTAATATCACAAGAGTACCATATGTCATGTAGGGATTATGGTTCGGGATTATTTGTGCATTGATCGTCCAAGTAGCTTCGTTGGTGACCATTACTATACGTACAGACTGGAAGATAGAGGTAACATTTCTTACTCTTTTCAAGGTGTGGGATTCCGTTTCACAAAACTAAAATCTCCCTAGGAAGATTAAAGCTACTAAGACGAGTATTAAGGGGTTATTTACAATTATATTTTTTTAGCATGATTATGCATGTACATTCGTTGTTACATGATAATGCAACATACCTATTTCACCTTACTTGAAAATCCACAACTTTTGTTTTGTGGTTATAGGCTAAGAAGGCACAAGAAAGGGTCTATGAGTCTTCATTGCCTATGGACATTGTATCATGACGATGAAGTTTGCAAAGCTTGGTGGTGGGAAGGATAAATTGGAGCTAGATTGAAGAGAGGATAAATTTAGTGACATGATTATAGATTATATTTACGAACGATTATTATACAATATGCTGATATAAGTTACTGAAATCTTTCATCAAATAGTTGAGTCGTATAAACATTTGCTGAATATTGGTGATCATGCTTACATTTTCAAGCTGAAATGCATAAAAAATGTTAATTGGAATCGACAAAAAAAAAAGAAATCAAACTCTTAATCCATAATACATCTAACTCAAAAGAGTTATTTATAAAATTATTTTAAAAATTATTTATTTGTTAACCATTTTATATTAAAAAAGTTTCCTTTCTCCCACTGAACAGTCTAATGGCCATCTAACTCAATGTCCATTGAACATCATTACGGCGTTACAATATGGTTGAGTTTAATCCATTAAATGTCAAGCATGCATCACATTTCATTCATCTATCTCGTTAAACTTTGCATTATAGATGTTTTCTAAAAATATACAATTAGACAAATCTTCACGGAGTATGCTCTAAAAATAGGCCCATGCTAGGCCTTTGATGGATAAAAGGCTATATTTTTCTTGTTTCTCCTTAAGTTTTAAAAGATGAAGGCAATGATCATAGAAACTCTTCTCATTTACATGGCTTTAATAATTTCTGTGATAATATGATCAACAAGATACATACATCACATGCACACATACATATATACATACATACAAACCTTTTGCATATATATATATATATATATATATATATATATATATATATATATATATATAAAACACACGTACATACATACATATTGTCGGGGTTTGATGAATCAATAACAGTTATAGAAAAATAGTTTATACAGAGGAATTGACAAATCAATACTTTATAATCTTTAGCCATAAATCCAATTAGACATTATTTTAACAACAATCAGAAATCATAAGTGTTTAGAGTACATATCTTTGAAAACGTTGGAGATTAATAGATTGTAACTATGATATAATCCACACAAACCATTTTGATTATATCTTTAATCTAAGGTCATCTCCAATGCATTGAACTCATATGAGTTCAATGGATTGACACATGTATATTTCACTCTCTGTATAACTTTACTTATTAAACTCTACACTTCATTAAACTCTATACAATTTAATGGATTGTCACATATTTATCATTTTTTTACTTATTATTATTTTTTAAATAATTAATTAGCATGAAATTAAAAGTTCAAAAACTATAGTTAAAATTAACATTAATTAAAAATTAAAAATTACTAACTTGATATAAAAAATAATTTATATATATATATATATATATATATATATATATATATATATATATATATGTGTGTGTGTGTGTGTATGTGTGTGTGTGTGAGAGAGAGAGAGAGGAGAGAGAGTATAAAGTTCAATGGGGATGGACTCACCATTCTATTGAATCCTAGTCATTTTCCCACAATGGGGATTTTGAGTTTAATGAGATTAAAACTCCCCATTAAACTCCTATTGTAGATGGCCTAATAAATAGAACATAATAAAATATTTTTATTTTCTTTATTTATTTTAAGTTGATAAATAACAAACTTTATCAAATAAGCATTGATTATTTATTTTAGATCTCTTATGACTTTTAATGTGTGACCCCATATTGGAGTTTTTGACCAAAATAATGTTATTGAAAATATGTTTACCAATTTAGTATAGTTTTAAAAATATTTATTCTCTATTTTTTAATTTTTCTTAATGTGTTTTTATTCTAAATATAGCTTCTTTTTCATTTTTTCTTTTATTTCAGTTTTTTATTATTTTTTTTAGATGTCAACTTTTATTTTCTTTATTTTAATTTTTTTCTTCAGTTTTTTAATATATGTTTAACATAGATGCTTTGACGTTATTTATGCAAATTATACAAACTATTTTGAACATCAGAATTTAACAATCTTAAATTAAAACTATCATTACACATACAATATTCTTTTAGGTGAAGAAACTTCAACACTAAACATACAATTTTTTAAAATAAAAAAACTTATTGTTTGTTACAAAAGAAAACCATCACAAAAAAGCTCTACTCTTTTATCATATAATTTCTTACATTTATTCACCGGTATGCTATTACAAAAATAATAGTTTTTCTTTTTGTTTTTCTAAAATGCGTTTGTAATCAATCAAAGTATGGTCATTTTGTACAACATAATCAGATGACTGCATTGTAACATCCCAAAAATTATAAGGTAAAAATGTATTTTTTTTAATTTAACCATAAACACCATTTATCCTTTCAACCATTCAAAAAGTATATCATAGTAAAAATAGTTATAAGAGTACAATCCCAAAATCATAAAGTGCGGAAACATAGGTGGATGCGATGCGATCAAGTCGGGCTCATCCCTTTCAAAATGGAGTACCTAAAAGCATAACCATAAAACTGTAAGCACAAAGCTTATTGAGTTTCCCAAAACACCACATATCATACATACATACATACATCAGGCCCCGCCTTGAATCAATGTAACATTCCGATGACGAGGTATTTTCAATTTTAACAGTATGTACAATTATTGCATTTTAGCCCTTGTGCGTGAGAAAGCTTGCAAAATAGCCCATAGTAGCATTTTTGTAATATTTGAAGCGGGCTCACATATGCGGGGCGTACGTGTGTGAGCCACAAACCCTAATTTTTAGGGTTTGGACCCTATTTAATCAATGTATGGCCTCCAAACCTCATCTCTCATCAGCCTTCAACACCTCCATACGACCTTAGCAAACCCTAGCCACTTGTTTGAGCATTCTTGACCCTTGTGTGTGTTTTTGGTGGTTTTGAAGGAGAAAGAAGGAAGTAGAACCACCTTGGAAGCTTAAAGGAACTTTGAATCTGGGATCTTCACCTATCTAGCAACCTCCAAGAGGTATAAAGCTTTAAACTTGGCTTGGATTTTCTTAGATCTTGCTAAGTTCTTGATTCATGAGCATTTTGGTCCCAAGTATTGACCTTTTGGTGTATGGCATGCTCCAACCCATTTAAACTGTCCTTTTAGACATTTTGAGTAGTTTAGAAGCATAAAAATAGGGTCTTGTGTAACATCGTAAATTCCAAAACAATTATTCACTTTTAAAAATATAATTTCATTCATAAATATTATCAATCTCCATGTATCACATATCAAATCCATAAAATTCATCCCAAGATCACAATACATAGAAACTCCACAAGTGTGTACTGATCATGCCGGCGTCTTCCCGCGATCCTCACTGGTACCTGAAACACATAACACAAAACACTGTAAGCATAAATGCTTAGTGAGTTCCCCAATATACCACATATAACACATATTAGCCACTCGAGGCTATAACTCTGTGGGCCCATTGGCCCTAACTCTGTGGACCCTCTGGTCCTAACTCTGTGGACCTTCCGGTCCAAACTCTGTAAACTCTGGAATACACACAGCATAAATCACATAGAAATAATGCAGTGCAACACATCACATACATAGCATACAAGATACTCTGTCACATAACTCTAATTACCACTCAAGGTAAAGTATAGTGAGAAGACTCACCTCGGATAGCTCAGTAAACCTCGAACTCGGAAATACTGATCTATCCTTCGCCTAATCACATAAGATAATTACTCTAATTAATATGATTTTCAAAGACTAGGCTAATCCCTCTCTAAGTTCTCTAAGAAGGGTAAAAGACCATTCTACCCCTCCAATGGCTCACAAGTCCAAACATTGACTCAACCCTAAAAGTCAACGAAGTCAACTCTAGTCAACGGTCAAACTTTAACCAGACTCGTCGAGTGCATCCGGGCGACTCGGCGAGTCCACGCGGGTCCTCTGAATCCTTCTAAGCCTCACTTGGCACGTCGAGTCCCTCCTCCACTCGCCGGGTTTCTCTGCAACGAATCGCGGGGCAACCCCGACTCGGCTCGTCGAGTCCACTTATGAACTCGGCGAGTTGCTCCCATGACAACACTCAAATGACCTTCTGAGGTCAGATCTGCTTCTCTAAACTATAGATCTGACTTCCCCACGACCAATAACCACGTAAAGGTCGAATCTTGACTCACATGCAACGCACCCAAGGCTTCTTTTTGGTGAAATAACTACTAAAATGGCCACCTAGGCTCATAACTTCAAAGGAATGGCATAAAGCAGAGTGATAGGGCTCTCTGGACCTCTTAAGGTCCAGATCTAAGAATCATTTCACCTTGGGACCTCACACACTCCAGATTCAAGCTAAATAATGCATAAAGAAACCCTAGATTCAACTAAATCATCAAAAATACGAGAATAAGCACAGATTGATACCTCCAACAGCTTCCCCTGATCAAATAGAAGTAGATCCAAGCTCCCGAACCCGCCTAGCTTGTCCTTACTCCTTCCTTCTTGCTAAAACACACAAGAAATGGTGAATAATGGCCTCCTTTCTCACTCACAAGACTCACATATGCTCTGGTACTCTAAAAGACGAAGGTAGCCGCAAATAAGGGCCATAAGGTCCTTTAAATAGGGTGCAGGCCCGGGGATTTAGGGTTTCCACGTACAGCGCCTACTCGGCGAGTCTACTCTTGGACTCGTCGAGTAGTTCATTAAACTCACGTGGCTACCCCACTTCTACTCGACGAGTTATAGCACCAACTCGTCGAGTAGATCAATGATCCTCAAAATAAATAATTCAAAATAACATACCCGAAAATCCGGATGTTACAATTCTCCCCCACTAGAATCAGACTTCGCCCTCGAAGTCTCGCTCTGCAAACAACTCTGGATGCTGCTCCCGCATCTCCGACTCCGGCTCCCAAGTCAGCTCGGACCCTCTCCGATGTTGCCACTGGACCTGAACCAGGGGCAACTTCTTGTTTCTCAGGACCTTGAACTTTCGATCCATAATCGTAACTGGCCTCTCAACATAATTCAGGCTCGCATTCACCTGAATATCCTCCAATGACACCACCGCCGACTCGTCGGCTATACACTTCCTCAGCTGAGACACGTGGAAGGTATCATGAATCTGACCCAACTCCGCAGGTAGCTCCAAACGATATGCTACCCTGCCCACCCTGGCGGTCACCCTGAACGGACCAATGTACCGGGGCCCCAGATTGCCCCTCTTCCTGAATCGGATCACTCCTTTCCAAGGAGATACCTTCAGGAGTACGAAATCTC